TATTCTTTTTGAGGTTGCTTTGGTGATGAGGGTGTAAGACTGGATACAGTTAAAAGAAATAATTGATCAGAGTTTTTGCTCTTTTCAAGTGATCCAGGCAGTCTAAATTTAAATGAAGGATTTAAGAATGCTCTGCATGTCCTGTTCTTCATAAAGTGTTGTGACTTAATACCGTGTTCCCAGTTTTACCACTGGAAAGTAATTTCCAAATGCTGGAGACCAGTAACTCCATAAGTATTTACCTTAATTCTCTTTGTAGAATTGGAAAATTCAGTACTGCTGCTATTGCAGAAAGGCACCCATTTAGACTGCTCATTCAGTCTTCTGTCTATGAGTATCTGTTGAATATTATTAAATGTTGTTAATTATACCACTAATTCCATATGAAACAAAGGACTGTTGGGGCATGCAGGAACCTAACATTTGCATTATGATTATAAAACACCGATAGCTTGGAATACATCACCAAGGTATTGTCCTTGAATCTACCACCAAATAAGACCATTTGGTAGAATCTTGTCAGTAACTGAACTTGAAGCTTTAAAGCTCAATACATTCAATCGTGTTCCTTTGATGTGACGCTTAATATCCTTTCACTGATTTTGAACTTCTTCCTGCTGAGACTCATGGTTTGGAGTTGTGTTTTCTGGGGTCAGCACACAAACACCACAGTTCCCTGAGGTCTGTGGGAAGCAGAAGATAGGTGGAGATTTGGACAGCTTTGTATCAAGACTCTCTCCTATATCTCTGAAGATGTGAAGATTCTGTTCCCACCAACAAGCAAAATAATCATTATAGCATATCCAGACTTGAGATATGTGGAAGCACCATCATGTTTCACCATCTCCTTGTAGTCTTTTTGCCCCAGATAGTGAACAGCCAGAAGAAGAGGGGCTGGTAGGCCTGCTCAGAGGTGTTAAGTGTGTGAGCTTCTCTGCTATGCCCTGGCTTTCGTACAGCCTGAACATGGATGCCCAGCCCTCATTCCACCAAGCCTTAAGGTTAATGATTTACACTTCCTCTTCCAAAACCTTGGCCTCAATCAGGTTATAGAAAACAGGCAGTGTGCCTTCTGGGAGCTGTCTGCTACTGCAGTAACTGAGCTGTTCTTTCAAAACCACCAAATGCTTGGTGCTCTTGGCAAAGATATAAAGGTGACTAAAACTGGCAGAAAGCTTTTTAAAAAGGGCATAGCAAAATTTAATTTAGACAGACATGTTATCTCTGATGCTGGTAGTGGAGAACTATAAATAGTAATGATGAGGTACACTTCCTAGGAGAGGTACTCTTCTGAGATACAGAAGCAAAGAAGTTCAGCCTTGTGCCTCAACTAGATTAGGTCATGATGGACACAGAGAATGAAATTATAGTAGCCCCAGTTTAGTTATTTTCCTACTGTTTATGGAGAATCAGAGGAATCCAATCTAACAGTGTTAAGAGCCACAGATGCACACTGCTGTTTGTGCAAGCTATCTGCAGCTAAAGAAATGGCTTTCGTGTTCCCCAGCTATGAAGTGATCATTCATAAACCATTGCAAACAAGTGGATGAATAAAATGCATTGAATGTAGGCACAGAAACCAAGGGCTGCACTGAAGATACTGAAGATAGTAATGTGTTTTCATTCCTGACCAATTAGGAAGTGTCTGAAGATATGTGAAAATTTAAATCTATTTTTACACAAGTGCACAAAAGCAGAGACATAACACTAAAGCTCCTCAAAAGCCCCCAGCCATTTCTGAAGGACCAGATGTCACTCATTCATTCACCATAAGAACAAAACTAGGATTTGCTATCAACAGAACTAGTGTTGCCAGCTGGTTTTGTCCACAATTGTTAATTCTTTCATGTAATCTTTTAAAGAATTAATAATAGCTATTAATAGCTGGCCTTTGATGCTTCAGGGTTCCCTAATTTAACTTGGTGTGAGATACCATAGCACTTACTTGTGGTTAACTACTGCTCATGAGCCTGCCTTAAATATCACGTCAGTGCTCAGACTCTCAAAGGGGTGCAGATGATGCTTGTCTGTAGTGAGCAATCCTCCTTAGGAGAAGAAATAAATGTCTTTCACAGTAAATTACCTAGCTTTTTATGGTTAACATAAATTATTTCTTTAATACTCAAGTCTGTATGGGACTCTTAAAATGCTTTATGATTTATTTAATAACTTATTATTTATCTTACAAGTTATTTTAATGACGGTTTTATGTACGACGTTTCCAGGCTGTTTGAAATAACTATGCTTGCACATACAATCAGGTAGACATACCTTCTAACAGATACTAATGGAGTGAGTTGGCATAAATTGATTCATATAAAAGCCTTTTCAATTAGACTTTTCGACCTCATAATCTCCCTACAGAAACACAAGGCTTTTGTAACCTTCACGAGACTTACAGCCCTTATAATCCTGATACTGTTGATAGATTTCTTGCCTGTCCTTTTAAACTTTTCATCTTCAAGATGCAGCCTCATAACCTTGCTGCTTGTTTTGTCTCCCCTTCAGTAAGCTCCTTATCTGTATTGTTACAATGGATGGGATGATTCACAACCACTGACAGCTTCAACCAGATGACTCTGTTCCTAGTAATGGTATTTGTAGGAATAAATATGAAAATAATTAAATTCTGTGTATCTGGCTATCCTTTTTTTCTTCTGAGGCTCGATCTTTGAGCTGAGTTATGAACACTGTGCCAGTGTCCCAGAATCACTGTCCACCCTCTGTTAGCAGTGCTCACTGTTCCACTCTTCTAACCTTGTTTTCTCATTAGCTCGCCTGAAAAGGAGATTTCTTTTTTTACCCACTTATTTTTGGGGTTAAGGCTGGCTATCATCTCAATCCATAGAGGACCATTGAATGCTTGGTCTGCTGCACCCAGTTTTACAGCCACCACCTGATACAATCTGTGAACCAAGGAGTAAAAGTCATCAGATGCCTTTCCATGGCCCAAGCAATGCCCTGTATCCAATAGGGGCTGCCATAGCTGCCTTCTTGCATGAGCTTTCTGGCTCCTGTCATCGTCATCCAAGCACTGCCAGCTCAGGACCAGTTTCTGCTTCCACACCCAGCCTTGACTAAGGTCTTATGCCCAGAGCTGGCATATGCCTTTCAAATCACCTGCCTAAGCAGTTCATCAGCCAGAAATAAGCAGCCGCTCTGGTTCTGCAGCATGGCAAGGAAGAAGATCTTGTCCTGCTCACACAAAAGTTTGTTCCTCAGTTCCCTAAAGGCTTTCCTGGACCTCTTTATTACCTGTTCTTTCCCAATCACTTCTTCAAGTCCTCTTTCAGCCTTTATCTGACCTGTGGGATACAGTGGTCTGCCTAAGGAGGTCTGCCCTTGATCCTGGGTCTCAGTGATCCATTACGTAGTATTTTTCATGCAGAACCCTAAGGAATCTTTAAAATTAATGTTTATACTATAGTAATCCTAAGAGGAAAACAGACCTCAGCAAGATGCTGTGTAGGTAAGTTATAAGCAGATAGTTCATAGAATCACAGAATGGTTTGAGTTGGAAGGGACTGTAAAGACAACCTAGTTCCAGCCCCGCTACCACAGGCAGGGACAACTTCCACCAGACCAGGTTGCTCAGAGCCCTGTCCAACCTGGCCTTGAACACTGCCAGGGATGGGGCAGCCACAGCTTCTCTGGGCAACCTGTGCCCATGCCTCATCACTCTCACAGTGAGGAACTTCTTCCTAATATCTAATCTAAATCTGCTCTCTGTCAATTTAAAGCCATTTCCCGTTGTCCCATCTCTACAGGCCTTTGTAAAAACCCCCCTCCAGCTTTCTTGTTGGCCCCTTTAGCCACTGGAAGCTGCTCTAACTTCTTCCCAGAGCCTTCTTGTCTGCAGGCTGAACAAGCCCAGCTCCCTCAGCCTGTCTCCGTAGGAGAGATACTCCAGTATTTTCATGGCTTCCTCTGGACTTGCTCCAACAGTTCCATGTCCTTCTTATGTTGGGGGCCCATGCAATTGGATGCAGTACTGCAGGTGGAGCTTCTCCAGAGCAGAGTGGGAGAATCAGTTCAGTTCAAGGACTGGGCTTGACTTTGCAGCCTTTCCAGTGAGTGTGCAATGGTTATAGCAACAGAGTAACTCTTAAAAAAATAAATTAGACATAGGAGGGCACATGTAGCAGTGCTCAAAACCCAGTGGACAAAAACATCTTTGGCTGTGCTGGAGATCTGTTTGAATGAGCTTATGTTTTGTAGATGATATTCCCATAAACTTTGCAAAAGGAAAAAGGAAACAGGAGCAGAATGGAACAGGAAAGACCGGTGGTGTCATGCCGGGCTCCTGCTGGAGCCCCTGCCCTGATTTGTGTATGGGAGTGCAGGATGGGAGCGTGAGACAGGTTGTGTAGCTTCTGCCATCAGCAAGAGCATTCCTGGCTTGATTAGCAGCTTTCAGCTGGCAGCCAGTGCTGATTTAATACTAATGCTTTTTTTATTAATGGTTGTTTGGTCTGTTTTGAATGTTTTCTGCATGGCTAATTAATGTACCAAAATGAATTAAAACGTGTTGCTAAACTTTACAGTAGTATACAAACAAATGGCTGGAAGTCTCAGCTCCTCTTCAATGTTTTATCTAAACTTTGTGTTCTCAGAGACAGATCTAAAATCCACTTAACTGAGCTAAAATGTGATGTCATTCTTCTCTAAATACACATAGGTATTTATGTTCAGCCTGTTGAGAAACAGACTTGAATATAGTGAGATATATGTAATTACTTTCTTTTAATGATAACAGAACCCACTTAAAATTGGCAGGGGATCAAAACCTGCAGCTACATATATGGGATTTTGCTTGAGTAAAGCACTCTGTAACATTATGCTGGGGAAAACCAGCATGATTCATCACTGGGAAGACACTCCCAGCTGGAGCAGATAGTTAGAAATCTCTCGCTATTGACCCTTGTGAAGAGCGGTGTCAGCCCCTCCGAGCGGAAAAGCTGCCGGGAAGAAGGTAACCCTGCAGCCAGGGTGTTTGTATTTCATATTTGAACAGTGCTGGTGAGGCGCTCGGTTTGCTTTTCACTGTGGAGGGCAGAGCTGTGCCACGCTACAATTCCTCTCCCCTTTTGGCTGCTAATTTGCCGTGTTTCTGAATTTACGCTTTATTGTCCATAGATAATTTTCTCTCTGAAACAAAGACGATTTGTGTAAGAGAGTAGAATAACAGCATACGTGTTTGATATGTGTCTGTCTATGCTTGAAATAATCCAGCATCTAATTTTTAATGAAGCGTGAAAGAAAGCTAGAGCTCAGCACAATCCGTGCCCAGCGAAGATCCTAATCTTCCCTTTCCAACAGCGGAGAGCTGCAGCGGGCACATCTGTTCCATGACCGAGCAGCGTGGCAGCCGCTGGCCCCGGGAGGGAAGTGCACTGAGCCGGCAGCCTGAGGTCCCTCTGCTGGGCGATGGGAACCGGGCAGCGGTAGAAGGCAGCGACCGGCCGGGGAGAGCAGGCGGGGGGACGGGCCTGGGGTCCCCCAGCTGCTGGCTCTGCTGAGGGTGTGATGGAAACCCCCTGAACGACAAGCCGGGAAAGACTTACTGCAAAGGTACATCTCTCTCTATATATATTCTACCAAAACTCTTCTAACTTTTCTATTACTGAAAAAAAAAAGTGAGTTTCTTGTCTAAAAGTCACATGCCCTTAAGAAAACACACTGTGTGTTTTGAAAGGGAAACCTGAACATTTCCCGTTCATTTAGCTATCTGTTGCATTATTTCAGTACTGAGTATGGCTTAGTCACTTCGATAAAAGAGCAAAACTGGACCCTGTCTTTGCTGGGGGAGACTTGGGGGGAATCTGGTGAGACCCTCCTGCTCACCCATTTTGGGGTGAGAGCACCACCACATCTTCCCCCCCCCAACACTGCCCTACAGCAAGCTCATTTATCAGGGAGGGTTCGCTTGGGTGCAGAGCCGCAGGAGCGGTTTGTCCGGGTGCTTTTTGCAAGGTGGGGTGATGAAGCGGGCAAGACACGGTTATCTGTCTGCTCCTGCCCTGCTCCCCAGTGGGGATGTTTGGATTTGGCAGAGAATGTGGGTGTGATTAATTTTTTTTATTCATTTTTTTGAGAGACTACTTATGAATACATAGTTCTTTACATATTGTTTTCCAAGCAGAAACAAATGGAATTGTTATCTGTGTTGTGAGTCTGCGAAAGAGAACCACATCGCTGGTGCAAGAGTTTCCCACTCTTCCTTGTTACTTAAAAAAAAATCACTGTGTAAATAATTAATTACTTACTCAATTGTGTTTTCAATTGCAGCTAGTGCAAGAGCTCTTTTCTGCTAAAGTACCCTTTCTTTGGAGGGAATATTAACAGTTTCTTGGTTAAAATTACATTTCATAGCTCATGTGATTGAAAACACTACATCACTTGCCGCTACAAGAGCAAGCAGTATAATTCTTTCGTATTTCCACTTGATTTCTTTTATATTTACTTGGTAATGGATATTGACAGGTATGAGAACCTGCCCAAATTGTGGGACTACCTGCAGCAGTATCTCTTGTGTGTAATACTAGATGTTGTTAGGTGTGTATTTGTTGACTTTTTAGCATCGGAAGCCCAGGCTGCACGGAGGGGCTGTGAATTGTCTTTTTTGCCTGTATGAGATTCACTGTAAGTCCATGCCAGAGCACAGGGCTGATCGTTACTGTGGATTGTGAACTACTTATGGGTAGAACTGACACAGCATACATATTCCCTCTCTCAAAAAATCCCAAACCAACCAAAACCCAAAAAACCCTGAACAAACCCAAACCAACAAAAAAACAACCCAAACCCCAATGTGTTGCTTTGGAGAGCTTGTTCTGTGGAAATTAGTAGTAAATAACAAAGATCTCAGTGTGAACTGGGTGGAGATCCCCAGCGTGACTGTTAACATACCTTTAAAGTGACCTTTGTTGATTTTATTTTTTTTTATTGCTGTGGAAACCCTATTTTGCACAGAGATAGGACTATCTCGATGCACCAGAGCTTGGGGCTGCTGCTGAACAGTGGTGCCAGGAGCTCAGACTGGCTCCTGCATCCTGCTCCAGCCTTGTGCCTGCAGAGCCCCAAAGGATTTCAGACCTGCACATTTGGTTTTCTGGCATGGAAATGTAATGGTGCCATCCGCTCTGTAACAAGTGCTTAAAGAAAGGTAACTGAAATAAAGGCATAGATATTTCCCCTTTAGTAAGCAATGAGCTTGTGGGCTCCATGCATTGGTAGAGAGCAGGTGTCAGGAAGAGGTTTCTTCACTAGATCTGTGTTTGCTTTACTGTGAAACAAGGTAAAAATAAATCATTGCTGAGGTGCTTATGGCTGAGTGATCACTGTGATAATAATGGTGATTTAGCTTATTAGGACTACTCAGATAAAATGATTCCCAACACTTAACTGATAAGTTATGCAAACATGGAGGACAGGTTTTTAATTGGGCTGGTCCTTGCGTCTAACCCCGGAGGTGCCAGCACGGAGGGAATCTGACCCTTGGGGTTTCCACTGGATTTTTTTAGGCCAGTCCTCACATAAAAACATTTGAAAATTCATCCTGGTGGTTTTAGAGTAGAAGATTGTTTGCTGTAAATCCAAAACTTTATTTATGTGTAATCGATCTGCTTGCTTAATTATCTGACATTTGTGTGACTGATCTTGAGTTTGATTTCCTCATCTGGTAAGGTATAAGTTGCAATGCTGTTTGGAAACAGAATAAATTAAATTGTTTGTTTGTTTTGCTCATGTGTAGGATTGGGGTTTTCCAAAAAAAACCCAAATCTGAATCCTTTGATTTGTTCAGGCTTCCCACTACCATTAGAAATTGGATTGATCAGCAAGTATAGGGGATTAATGAGTGCTAAAATAATTGCTCTACATCCTTCAAAATGTTATTTAGTCATGTATGAAGCTGACTGCAGTAAGCTGTAGCCCTCACCCCTTCCTTTTTCTTGCTTACACATAGCACCTAATGTCTATCAAGTTGATCCGATGGATAGGTAGAACAACTCATAAGGGTCAAGTGATACAACAGCCAAGCTTGGGTGATGGTGAACTCTCCAGTAGCGATCGAAGTATGTATTGGTGCAGCTGATGGTTTGATTTGATAAAGCTCAGTAAGATGTATTTAGTTAAAATGAACTCATCTGCCTTGAAAACAAACTCTCATTTCAATTCTAGGGTGGCTGATATGGTCCCTGGGTAAAACATGGCATATCTTGATTGCTGATAGGTATCTTCCTTTTGTAAGAAGATATTTACTAAGTAAGAATAGCACAGGCATTAAGGTAGAATTGTCAGTACTTCTTTGGTGCACTATAGAGTTTGGTTTTGGTGAGGAAGCACATGAGCACAAATGTATCCCATGTTGGTCTTTTGGGGTTTTTTGGTTTTGTTTTGTTTTGTTTCTAGTGTTTTTTTTTTGTTTGTTTGTTCTTGTTTTGGTTTTAATTAATTTGGATTTTATGAATTTTTTGGGAGGACAGGTTAGTTCAGAGGAGGAAACTGCTTGTTGGAAAGCCTTCTTTCTCTTATAAAGTGAATAACTGTTCATAGTTTTCCTGGTTGCCATGTATTAAAATAGCTGTAGTAGACCTTAGAGGCCCATTTTTGTCCTGTGAGTTCTTTGTTGTGTGGTGTAACCTACTCAGAGAGGAGTGTATTTCTTATCCCTAAGTCACCATATGTTCGCAGCAATAATCATTGTTTTCCATAAGTATCTGTATTAGTTCTGTTGTGCGTACACTGTACTTTATAGTTTCTGATGTAGTTTTTATAAAGAGCTGTGGTGGAAATTGTGAGGGTTTTACAGTAGGGATGTATGTACATTGGCAGGACTGCTTCATCACAGGATGTATACCACTGTTAGCTGCTTAAATAATTTTTACATTCGTATACCGAATAAAATCTCAGTTTATCATTTGGCATTTGTTAAAAAACAGAAAAGTTCTCTATAAATGGTGCTGTCATTTGAGTGTTATGAAGCTCTGTGCCTACGTGATCCCCAGTTCAGAACCTTCTTCAGTGCTGCAGAGTGCGATTCAGTCTGAATCCACAATATTGCTATTTATTTGGCTCACAGCAGTGTCAAGGCAGGCGTTAAGACTGGGTCTCAGACGCGATGCTGCAGATGCACACAGCAGGAGCAGCCCCTCATGCCAGGACTTTACTTTGCTTTAATACTCAGAAAATTCTCCATGGAAACCTTGAAGTCGGCTATTAGAGTGTACTTCGGATGAGGACATAGAATATCCTGCGTGCTCGTCCGTTGGCATGTATTTCTGAGTAAGCTGTTGTGGAGGCTTGCCTGGCTTTATAGAAACAGCTAAATATGCTATATAAACTGCTAAACCTGGTGGGCAGGGATGGGAGGAATAGAGTTAATTATAATTTAAAGTTTTATTGTGTCCCTTTTCCTTTTCTGTGTTCATATAGTATATAAAATTCCTCTTGCATTCTATTTAAATTCTGGGGCTTTCATCTGACCTTTCATTCTCTTCCTATACAACTGCCTTTCCTGTAATAGAATAACATAAATGACTGTCATCAAATGCTGCCTGCAATTACTTTGTATCAGTCAACCTACTGCTTTTGTGTGTATCTGCTTTCATCTCATTAGCTGTTGTACAGACGAATTATGACTTGTAGGCAGTTGACTGACTAGCTGTTGGATGATTCCTTTGAGAACTGAAGGTATTTGGCCAGCAAAATGTTGATGTAGATATTTCAACATTAGGCAGGTTACAAAATGTTTGGGGTTTGCACTGACAAGGGAGTTTCCATACTAAGGCATACGCTGTGCAAATATGTAAACGGATTAACAGAGCAGATTATTTGGATTCAGAAATTGGTTTATAGTGCAGTGAATTAAATAATTCTGGAAAGTGGAAGTCATGCAAACGGGGTATTTTCATGGTGATTTGTATTCAGAAATGCTGAAGGCCCATAACCCTGCCTAATTTTGAGCTTATTTGATACAGCTGTTAAGTGCCCCAAGGCAATTAAAAAAATTCCTTAAAAAAAAAAGCAACCTTCTTTCAATGAGGAGTTTTATAAACTGCTGGTGTGTTAGTGGGGGGTTAAATTATTGTTTATTTGTATATTTATTTTAACCCTCCAACTCAGTAGTTGGAAATCACTAACTCCAGTCCCCATTCCCTTGCACTGTTATCATTCCTTTATTCATGCAGAGATTTTCTGATGCAGTCACTTCGCAATGTGAGCCCATGCTATTTTCCAGCATTTGTGCTGAATCACAGTCTTGGTGACTGCAACTTGTGCTTTTATGCCATGATATTCACATTACTGTTATGGAAAAGATTTTTATTTTTTTATTTTTATTTTTTTAAATTATAATAAAGTATGAGTAAATAATGTGTGTGTACAGCTGTGCTTTGGAAGAGAAAGTAAAGCTATATCATAAAGATACATATTTATGTATATATGATCAAGACAAAATATTCTTCACTTAAACCACTGGATTTCTGTTTGCTAGCTCCAAGATCTCATGTGCATATTTTCATTTGTTTGTTATTTCGTATTGATGTGGGTAACTTTTTAAATAAATGAAG